GAGAGAGAGAGAGAGAGAGAGAGAGAGAGAGAGAGAGCTGATAATGACTTCCCAGCTAAATTCTCAAACAGAATTATATTAAAAGAAATCATCTATATACCAGCATTCCGCGCCATACAAGAAGTCTCTATAGAAATACGTCCAATGCACACCTAACCTACTGACCCGTGATATTCGCCAATAAAAAGTCGCCTTTCATCCACAAAGAAGCTAATAAAATCGACCAGGCAGTTCCTATAAAGATGTTTTATGATCGGACAGTTCTTTATGTGTAAAGGCCGAGACGCTGAAGAAAGGTCAGCACGTGTTTAATGATTCTACCGTCCATCACGTGTAAATTACTGCAGGATACGGGTGATTGCATCCAGTCACTGTGCACAGGTGTGTGTTCACGTGTGTGTGTGCGTGTGTGTGTGTGTGTGTGTGTGTGTGCACGCCTGGGTAAATTGGGTTATTGAGAATAAAGTTGAAGTGGATAAAATTACAGGAAAGAGAAAAGCCCCTGTTATTTCTCAGCTTTCATCAAAAGGATGATGTCTGATATACATACATACATGTTAGAAAGTAGCAGGTTCGGAAGTAAACAAATCACTTTAAGGCAACACGAGGCACATGGTCTCTCATTAATCGTTATATTAATGACTCACTGGTTACCTACACATGAGAACATAGAAAGAACGCGTTAAGAGAGGCAGGCGCATCTGTATGTTTTTTTTTATAGAGAACAGTGTTGCCCTTCAGTAGCACGGGGCAGCCTGGCTCCTGTAGGGGGTTAAGTAGGGTCATCCCGGCGTCTGTGGTACAGGTCAGTAGAGTGACTGGACACGGTACACGAGACTGACCATATGCTATCTTCATCCCACAAGTATCTGACCAGGGCGGTAGTTTAAGACTTCCAATACGGCGTACCTCACATCTCCACAGCTGTACCCGGGCCTGCTGGAGATACGGACAGTTTGAACAGGACAGCGTGTCAGACGACATCTTCAGCAAGCAGTCCATTGCTTGCAGTCCGGCTGCATAATTCCCTAGTAATATGTCTGTAACTTTTCCTCTGTAATAACTCTGTAATTCTTCTTCTGCGATATTTCTGTTATTCCTTGATCTGTAATTTTACCACTGTAATTTCTCGGTAATCCCTCAGTAATTTTTCTGTAATTTTCATCTGTAATGTCTCCCAGGAGGCGATTATCTGAATGCACCCCCGCTGCCCACTACACGCCCGGAGTAGGCACTGGAGAGAGACCCGCTGCCCACTACACGCCCGGAGTAGGCACCGGAGAGAGCTCTGAAACCATTTTGTCAATTTAGCGATATATACACCGCTTTGCAACAGATGGTTAAGGCAAAGTGAAATCCATATATCTGATAATAAGAAAGCAATATCTTCCCAGCCACCACACCTGGGACTCCTGCTGATGATGTCGCACTGTCAATTATGTTAAGGGTTAATGTTCGTCACAGAACAGAGAGAGATGTATGCTACAAATAAGACGGAAAATACACAGAACACATGATTTATTAGAAGCCCTATATGAAGCTGTCAAATTACAAGTCTCTGTTTCTCCCCTCCCCTCTTTACATACTCTGTAATTCGTACGCCATCCTGCGACCTGTGCGTTTATCTCGGAGTAAATTGTAATCAAGCGCCCACTTCAGTCCTTAAGTCCTCAAACAAATGTCGACTGAAAAAGTTTTCAAACCAATTTGAGGCAGGGGCTGCGTTAGTCGAAATAACCCAGTGCAGATTATACAGATGGGGGCGGTTTCTTCTATACCCTGATAGCAATGGTTATGCCTACAAATAGACCCTCTCGGTCTTAACAAGGAAACAGATATATCTTTGTGTCAGAAAACATGCCGAGCTCGTGTAGCGGTGTTCCTTCCGTTTCTATTCACGTCCTGGGTACTACACCTTATATATAAATATATCTAGCTGTGGATAAAGAACAAACGTGTATTATAATCCCCGTGATATGTAGATCTTATAGCTTTTCCACCAACAGTGACTACACCGAGACAACCTACAACAATACGGGGAAAGTTACTCCTAGAACTGACCGTATAACCTCTAGTAATACGAGGAAAATTACTCCTAGAACTGACCGTGTAACCTCTAGCAATATGGGGAAAGTCACTCCTAGAACTGACCGTGTAACCTCTAGTAATACGGGGAAAGTCACTCCTAGAACTGACAGTGTAACCTCTAGCAATACGGGGAAAGTCACTCCTAGAACTGACCGTGTAACCTCTAGTAATACGGGGAAAGTTACTCCTAGAACTGACCGTGTAACCTCTAGTAATACGGGGAAAGTTACTCCTACAACTGACCGTGTAACCTTTAGTAATAAGGGGAAAGTTGGTCATTACAACCCTCTCTCGTTCTATAACCAGTCT